TTTACAGCAGGTAATTTAATCTTGAAATTAGTAGTCAAATTTGCACAATGTTGTCACCTATTGTTATAATTGGCGTAATGTTATACTGGTGCCTGGTCCCCGCTGTACTTGGTATGTTTTGTATGTTTTCCCTTTGCGCATTCTATTCAGTGGAGGTACTCTGACACACTGCTCTACATAAAGGCGCTATATAAATGCAAGTTGTAGTCATACCAGGCTATGAAAGTAGGTTTTTATAATTCATAATGACAGAATTGCATTCCTTGATCATTCTATGCATCATTTAGTTTCATTGAATAAAGTAGGTGATGTGATTTGCTTCAATAACATTTAATTTGATTTGTTATTGGTGTGTGTTTGACAACAGCAGAAGCTGTGCCACTTTCATCTTTGAATTTCAGTTTATGATTCTAACTGCATTGAAACATTCATCAGTGGTACAATGTATTTAGAATTTCTTTGGTGTTTGAGCATAACATTAATGCAGGGTAATTTGGAGTCAAATTTAATTTTTTTTGAGAAAATAACTGATTCATGAAAGAATCTTTTTGTATATAAAATTGATCTTAACATTAAGTTTACCCCCTTTGGCATATTTATTTTGGCACAGAATTTTGGCACATTGAAGAACAACGAAGGCTGTACCAGTCATTGGCAATGCAATTTTTCGTCAGTATTTCTTTAATCTCCACATTCAAAGTGGCTTCAGCTTTCTCTCTGAACCGACATAATGGGTTGGTTTCTGAGTCATTCTTAGTTGCAGACTTGTGTTCTGCTTTGTCCCTGTAATAATAATTTCTGCTTTGTTTTTAATAATAATTCATGCATTGGAACAGTGCCTAATAACGCCAGAAGGAAGTCTCAAAGTGCTTCACAGAATTTACTGTCAAGTGGGTTGACTGTATTTATGGACAACACGGCAGCACAATTGCTCACAGCAACACAATGTTTGGGTGCATTGGAATTCTACACTGCGCTTACTTTCAGGTTTGGCACTTTGAATTGAAATCTGCCATAGAAAATGAAATGTGAAAAGGCCATTTAGTACATCAAACTCCATTCTTTCACAGACCAATGCAAATCCTACCCTATTATGTACTTCATTCACTCTGCCCACTTTCTTTTTGGAGAAGGATTCCTTGTGAATATTTTCTGGTCCTCAAAACTCAATTGAGTAAAAATGTTTCATCCTTCTCCACTTTTTAAGTCTGATCTGCTTTCCTTTCCTTTTGCCCTTCTTCCCAGCCATATCCAAACATCACAGATGCCATTTTGTCCTGTTGAGGATTTCCATAGTGACAGGTTTTGGTCAGTCTTTCACGTTCTTAATGGCCAAAAGTATCAATTGGCAAATTTGTCCATCCTCTCACGCCTCGCCCATCATACTGAACATAATAATAATAATAATCCTTGCATTTGATATAGCGCTTTTCACGTCGGGAGGACGTCCCAAAGCGCTTCACAGAACATACTGTAAAGTGAATTGACTGTATATTTTTGGGCGAACGCGGCAGCCAATTGCGCACAGCAATGCCCCACAAACAGTCGTAGATTGAAAATGACCAATTTTGTTTATTATTGTTTTTTTGAAGCTGAAGCTTAGTATTAATAGAGAGCCTAACAGCTAATTGCTTTCAGCTAAGAAGCCACAACTCCTTTTTGAGCAGTACATTTGGATCTTGTTCAAATTGAGATGCTGTGCAAAATTTGGATATTTTCAGTTTAAATTTTAATACTGCAAGTAACTTTCTGGGTGTTATTATTTTTCTGAAAATCTGAAACTAAATAAAAATATTTTTTATTGACAAATCTAATTGATAAAATATATTTTTATCTGATTATACTAAACCTGTTGAAAATGCAACCCAAAAAAGTATGAATTATCTCTGGGACATATGCATAAATGCCTCTTTTAATGCATACAATGGCTCTGTTTACCAAGCACTAAATAGGAAGCTGGTTGTCAGTTGATTGACGAATCTCTTTTCCGGGGGTAATAATCCCTTTGATTAAAATGAATAATTGTAATTTGGTCACTCAATCCACGACTGTTTTGGGACACCGCTGTTCACAATTGGCTGCCGTGTTTCACCCACAGAATATACAGTCAATTCACTTTACAGTATATTCTATGAAGCGCTTTGAGTCATCTTGAAGACGTGATAAGGTGCTATATCAAATGCAAGGATTATTATTATTAGATAAAGCCGAAGACCCCACTGACTTTTTTATGGCTATATCTACCTATGTTGTTACTTTTAGAGATTTGTGGATCAGAATCCCCAGATCTCTTTTCTCCTCCACTCCTCTTAGGTTATTGCAATCTAGGCCAATAGGTAATTGATAAACCGATTACCTGGAAATATCTCGTGCATCTATTTTGTTCATATGGTATAGTTTTGAAATTGCTGTCCATAACATTGTTTAAGCAGACTGTTAACTGCAATACAAAGGTACATATTTAAAAATTGTTCTCAAGTTTTTGAAAATATTTTAATTGTGGCAAAGTGTGAAAATAGCTAATGACAGTCAGAAATAACAGACCCTTTGAAACACGAAGTGAAGGATGTCCGTGCTTGGGAATAAAATGTTTCAGTAAAATGCTCTTGAAACTGCACTCTACACCTCGTGGTGAGTTCACTTCAGCTCGGTTCTGTTGGAAGGTGTCGGCTTAATTGTGTTAGTCAGTGTCATTGTGTCAGAAGTTGTGGGTTTCAAGCCCCACTGAGGACTTTGAGCTCACAGTCTACACTGACCTTACATAGCGAGAGATGCCATCCTTCAGATGAGGCATTGAACTTCATCAGCTGTTTGCCTGTTTAGGTGGATTTTTGGCTCATCGGTAGGACTTGTAGGGGCACTGGGAACCGGGATTCGTCTCACTCCGCTCCTCTTAACCTTGCAAGTCAAAGCTCTAATGGGCAGGGTGGTCCTTGCTGGACAAGCAGTGGGAAGCTCTCGAGACCATGCTTTCACTGGCATGCTGTTTGGTTTTAGCTGATATTTAGCAATATCTCACACATGCTCTGGGGTTCCCAAGCATTGACTCTTGCCAACCTGTGGCAAATATTCCCTGGACTTGGGTAACCAGAATGCGTGTCTCTGGGGGGAATCTGAGCATTCCATTCTAAACAGGAAGTTCCATATGTAGTCAAAAATGATGCAGTAAAAGATTTACAATGTGCGCACACACACATAGATACCGGGTGCGCATAGATGAACATATTGTTCACATGTATACACACACTTTCCAGCAGGAACCAGCGGATATTTGATCATGATTGGCGAAACTGGGTTTTTTCCTCACTACAACTAAGAGGTACTAAGGCTAATCAAAGCTGTGCTGTTGCCAAGATGCCTGAAATAATTTAACTCAGCACAATCCATGGATTAAAATTGGGACATTCCTGCTTTATCTGGCTGTTTCAGGCTGAGCAAGCGAGATTCCCAAATGCACCATTGTGAGACCTGAATCTTTTGGTGGGGAAATAAGACTGATACTAAAATAGATTGGTACTTTTGAGTAGTATTAGACGGTAGTAATCTAATCAAGGTTTTTAATTAATTATATATCGAAAGCAAACATCATTGCTTTCAACTGAAACTAGATTACAGTCTTAATTTCACTCCAAATTGACTCATTTTTATAACTGTTTTTGTTTTATTTGTCTAACGTGTATTTGTTCTTGGCTATTTGTTGCTTCAGCTTTGTTTAGCTGTGCCTGATCTGTGATTATATTAATTTACTAATTAAGGATTGTGACTCCATTACAATAGGATTATTGATGAATGAGCTCTTGTTGATAGGATTCCAAAGCCATATGCTTTCCCGTACCAGGCACCACAAGCCCTTCACCACTATTATTGCCAGCCTCCACTGACTCCATATCACTCAGTGGATTCACTTTCAGATCTTTGTTTTAAAATTCCATGCCATTACCCCATCCTACCTCTGTAATCTTCTGAATTCCTTCTCCCTAGCCCATCCCTCTGCTCTGACAACTCTGGTCTGCTTTATGTCTCTCTTTAGAGACATTGCCACCACTTTCTAAAACACTTTTTAAATCCCTCTGCCTTGTAACCTCCCTGTCTGATTTCAAAACCTTTCTAATTGCGTGGCACAGTTCGTAGCACTCCACTTTTGTGTTGGAAGGTTGTGGATTCAAGCCCACGATGGGACTTGACCTCACTTATTTGTAGCTGACACTGCAGTGCCATGCTGGGGGATGTTGTATTGATGGAGGTGCTATCCTTCGGATGAGACTGAGGTTCTGTCTGCCTGTTAAGGTGGACATTAAAGATCCCATGGCACTACTTGAAAAGAGAAGGGAGTTCTAGTGTCCTGTCCAAACAAACCCCAAACAAAATTGGTGACTCACTCCATGGTTATTTGTGGGGCAATGCTGTGTACAATTGTGCAATTTGTCTACAAATACAGTCAGTCCACTTTATAGTAAATCCTGTTAAGTGCTTTGGAACGTCCTCCCAACGTGAAAGGCACTATACCAAAAGCAAGAGTTATTATTAAAAATATTTAAAAAGATACTTGATAGCCCAAAGAATGATACTTCTTTAAAGCGCTCTGAGACTTAGCTTCATAAAAGGTACTATATAAGTGACAACAAAACGCAAAATACTGCAGATGCTGGAAATCTGAAACAAAAACAGAAGTTGGTGGGGACACTCAGCAGGTTAGACAGTATCTTGGAGAAAGGAAAGTGAGTCAACATTTCAGATTCATAACGCTTCATCAGAACGTTCTGATGAAGGGACATGGACCCGAAATGTTGACTCACTTTCCTTTCTCCATAGATGCTGCCTGACCTCTGAGTATTCTCAGTGATTTGTGTTTTTGTTCTGTAAGTGAAAGTTGTTTAAAGTAAATGGAGGCTCAGGAATATGACAAGTGTAATTGCATTCTATTGGGTCGAGATTTGATGTGATTTTCGATTGATAGTACAAATTGCAACTCAGTGAATGTTAATTACTTATTTTTAAAGGTACCTGGAACTTTCCTGAAGGAATGGAAAGCCGAAGTTCTGGAGGAGATCATAATCAAACCACAAAGGAAGAAGGACATCCAGAGTATGTCGCATATGTGTTGTTGCCCGTCTTCTTTCTCACTGGTCTTACGGGAGTCTTAATATGTCATCTTCTGAAGAAAAAAGGTTACCGATGCACCACAGATAGTGAGTTTGAATGTGAAGAGAAAATTGCTGAGGAGCAGATGGGTAAGAGTCCTTCTTTAAAATTGTTATGATGCAAAATGTCCTTGATGAACAAACATTCCAAGTAAATGAATTTTCTGTTCATTTGCTGACATTCTTCCTCGTTTGTTCAATTTCTATTCAAATGCTTGTTTCTCTTGTTATTTCTGTTGCAACAGGATAGAGTTCTTTTCAGCACTTTCAATTGAAACGTTTTTTCAATCCCTGATTATTGGCAGCAGATGTAATCTTTAACTTCAAAATTTTCAATTGGTGGTTCTTGATTTCCCCTTTATTTTTTTTACTTTTAAATAATTAGACAAACCAATTTTAACTGGAGAATAATGTTTTTTTTTGTACGAGCTCACAACCTCCATATTGGGAAATATATTGTGTAATATTTCTACCAAGGCCTTCTTCAGTTATTGATTCAGGTTAGTGTTCCGACAACATCTAGTACATGCCAGCATCTGATCTTAAAATGTTCATGGGTATCATCGAATCTTTCTTAGCGAAGAAGCTGTTCCCATTTGGTTACTATTTTCAATCATTACATGACTTTCAAGTATTAAATAGGTTTAAAAATGCAAAGCAGAATAGTTTTCTGTGGTTTGATAGAATTATTGAGCATTCTGAGGCACTATCCTGCATGAAGAATGCTATATATATGAAAGTTATTATTGTATCAAGGATATAAGAAAGTACTTGCATTTTTATAGCACTTTATCATGCTTCAAAGGGCTTCCCAGGTAATTACTGTTGAGGATCGTGCCTGTTTTTTAGGCAAACAATACCTATTTTTGCCAGCAAGATCCAACAAAAAGCCATATGATACAAGGATATTGAAACTCAATTTTGAGGTTCCAGTTCCGCACAGAAGTACTTTTCTTCCCCTCATTCAATTGAGGAATCAAGTGTTGAGAGGCTTCCGTGACTGGGCAGTGGACGTCAGGTCCTCCAGCAACAGTGAGCGTGCATCATTGAGCGAGCCTTCACAGACAACTGCTACCCGTTCAGGATGTTACCAGAGTGACTGTAACCAGCTGATTTTTCTCCCCTCCCCCAATGGTGGTGTCCTGTTCTCAATTGTCATTGGCACTCATGTCTAATATTGTTCCAAGTCAATTTTGACACCCAAGTTTTGGTGAGAAATTACAGTAACCCCAATAATTTTGTGAAAGAATAAGTAGGACATAGAAGATTCAGCAGAGAATGAAGGAAGCCATTCATCTTAAAGTATCTTCTATGATACCTCCCCACTTACACAATCTACTAATCCTCGATCCCCTTACCCTTTTATATCTTTAATCAGGTATTTATCTAAATCCCTTTTTAAATGTCATAATTGATTCTGATCCACTTGCTGCAAAGTACTCCACATCCTTATAATTTTGTGTAACAGAATTTCCTCTAAACTCTGACCTTATTGCTTCAAAAATAAACTTGAGGCTATGCCTCTTTTTTGCTACTTCCATTGTTCCGGGGGGTAGTGGCGTTGCAAAGGAAAATAAATATTTACCTTCTGAAACATTAATTAAAGAATATTGATCTTTGTTAGGTTCTGTGTTAACTCATCACCTGACAATGACACATCAGTTCTCTAGTAGATGTAACTAGTTCGCAATCAGGAGCAGAAATTATGGCCGATTCCCCTTCTTAATCTTGGGTGATATTGTGGCATCCTTACACATAGCTCTTTCCCTCTCCCTTTGCCAAAGTAAGCTAACTCAGTGCAGACAAAAGATCAATTTATTCATAAAATCCAGTTAGTTCAAAACTTTGTCGCCTGTATCCTCACCTGCACCAAACTCTGCATCCCTATCACCCCAGGTTTGCCTGTCTCCATTGGTTCACTATTGCAGAACTAATCGATTTCAAGATCCTCATACTTGTGTGCAAATCACTTCCCTCCTTGCACCTTCCTACCTCTTTCACCTGCATACACCCCACTCATTTACCCATACCCTTCACTCAGCAAGCTCCAGCGTCCCGCACATCCCTCATCCCCTCCTCTTCACCATTGGTGGTTGTGTCTTTAGCCACTACACCCCAGAACTATGGAAACATGCAATATTTTAGATTGTATGTGATCTCTATTAAGAATTGGCTCTATTGCCAAATATTTTTGTTTGTTTGTTCTAGCCAAAGCTGCTGCAGAGCTACCTTACTGGCGTCAGTACCATTGGAGTGTGTGGCGGGCTTGATTTAACTTGACAAGTCTGTTAGCTTAATTACAATAGAATTTACATTTACATGGCGCTTTTCATGTTGGGAGGACATCTCAAAGCTATTTTTAAAATTCTTCAATAAAAATTAGGGTAAAACAATACAGTAATAGCCTTCTCTTTATAAATCATATAATTGCCTAAGTCGTACATGCACCCAAGTCTCATCCAGTTTCCTATCAAAACCATTTAGATTTCTTTAGATTAATACTGTTCGTATCAATCATCTCCTAATTCGTAAATCACCTATCCTCCATTACTCCTGCATTTACCGCCTGCAATGACGAACTAACTTCTTGTCCTCAGTGACAAAGTTATTACTTACGCACTTACTAGCTAAATTGAATTACTCATATGCAGTATGGATTATTAATGAATCAGATTTTATGATTTATTATTTTATTTATTATTATAATTGTTTTTATTTATTGTTGTATTCATACAGTTTGCCTACAACTCAGGATATATTAAATGTATAGTTCCGAATGATGATTTATGTGAATTTTACTCTACCAACAACTCATTGCAGTTTCCAGTAATTAAGACACTGTTTATGAAGGCTATTTCTGATTTCACTCTCGGGAGTAATGATATAAATTATATATTGGACTATTTTATTCTCCAACCCCCACCCACTCCCCCAAGAAATCTCCATTTATTTCTCAATTGCTTAGATTAATCAATGCACTCAGCCATCCACTATTGACTATTGTGGGAATAATGAGGGAGTGTGTGTGTGTGTAGGAGGGAGAAAAACACCTACTCCATATTTCTCACAGCTGCAATATTTTTATGCTGGTTCAAGTTTATACTTTTTAAAATAAAGTTTAATGACCTGTAATTGTGAAGTGATTTGAATGCACTTTAGATAAATTGATTCTAAAACAAAATTAATATTTTAATATAATCATTTATTTCTAACTCAATACGTAATTTCAATACCGCTACAAATGGAGGAATCCAAACACTTGTTTCAACATGTTGCAATGTTTTTAGAGACTATGTATTTCTAATACAGGTAATCACAATTTGTTTGCATGGTGGAAAGTGAGTTAACTAGTTTGAATGCTGAAAATGTATTCACAATTTTTTAGAAGTATAATTTTTGTACAGTTAATTTTAACAATACAAGTAGCACAATTTTAACAATAAAATTTAGAGTTATCTGGACTGCATCAATATATCCACAAGCAAATTTTGGGGTCCTCAAATTTGTAACTATTAGTCACATTATTATAGGATATAGTATATTGTTTTGGGGTCAGGAAGGAAACTATATCAAAAGACTATACTTGTTTTTTTAAAGTACAGCATACTGATTTTAAAATTGGCAGTCCGGATCTGAGTTTTGTTTACACCAGTTTAATCAGATGTGAATATTATTCAGAGAAACTCCTACTCAGAATATTTGTTGTAATGTGTTGAATTCAGAATTAATTTTCCTTGAGTGGTGACACTACATGACTGATTTTTAAAGGCAAAATTACTTTCCACTGAAGTACAAAATAAACCATTTGAAGAAGGGAACATTTAATGTTGCTTTTTATATAATTGACCAAGCCCATTTTTGTTAATAGGATTTGGTGTAACTATTTTAAACTAGATGTAAAGTGTATGTAATGAAAACTCTTATTATCCTGAGTTTGCCTAAGAACATGAATGTCTTGTTTAGAATTACCTGTTTTTAAAAAGGGGGAAATTTACAGAATAAAGTATTTTAGTGACCAACATTAACATTTAAAATTTTGTACAGTGATTGATTCCAATTTTGATTTCAGTGTTTTTGTTGGCCTCTTTTGCTTTTTGTTTCTGCCACCAATATTTTTGTTTTTCTGTTTTATTTTGCACACTCTAAGCTTTTTTGTTTGTCATTAAGCTGGCGTATAACGTAACTAAGCACAGAGCTGGAAGGTGCAAATTAATCAGTTTCCCAATAGATTGCAATTCTGTTGTTCCACAACCTAGGCATCATTATTATTTGAGAGATTTGTGTGGAGCCCGGTAAACTGCTAAAATTGTCATTATTTGCTTAACTGTGGTCTTTTTATAAGATCAGTAGTCATTTTGTTTTAGATGGAAGTAAAACTAGAATTTTGTTAGCGTGGTACTGTGAACCTATATCTGAAGTTAGCATTCATAAGTGTAATCCTGCCACTTTATAAATCATTGATGCAACCGCACTTGGAATACTGTGTGCAGTTCTGGTCACCGCAATATAAAAAAGTTATTGCAGCGATTGAGTGGATACAAAATTATTGAGGGGATAGAGAGACTGGACAAGGAGCGATGAGATAAACTGGGCATGTTCACACTGGAGAAGAGAAGGTTGAAGGGTCATACGATTACGGTCTTGAAGGTTATGAAGAGAATAGATAATGTAGACCTTGATAAGCTGTTTTATCTTGTACTGAACAGTTGAACCAGAATACACAGCGTACGATTGAAGGGGGGGGGTAAATTCAGAACAAAGCTGCGGAAATACTACTTCAGGAAGCAAGTATTATTTACTGAGATTTGATGTTTCCTTCTTTTCATTTAGCTATTTATGCTTTTTATTATTTCTTACAGATTATCATGACGGCAATACTGATACAGTTGGACAAATGGTACACTGTATAATGAAAAATCCAGGTATACCTTAATTGCAAAAGTTCTGGTCAATTTACTTTTAGGTCAGTTTGCTGAAAATCAAGTAGGTGTCAAACTTATTTCTTTAAAATTAAGAAATGTAGGTGAAAGACTGGAACCCACAATGCAGGTCTCAAAGTTTGCAAGAGAGAACAAGGTAAATTTGGTGATTAGTTGCTAAGCTTGAGTATTGAAAGTTGTTGGATCTTAAGATGAGATTTAAGAGTTTCATATCTCTGAGATCCTGATTAAGAATGAATTAAGAGTTGGAGATGGTATGATGTTTGATGATTTCAACATGGTCAGGCTTGAGGAAGTAGAAAGAGCTTGTAATAGCGTGGTCATCAATGTGATTTTGCAAACAGTGTTTGAGTTGATAATTAGTCCTTTTGGTTTGCAAAAATCTGAAAATAAATTTGCCCCCCCAAAAATCTGACTGATATTCACAAAATCGTGAATTGCAAGCTCACGTTTGAAAATGTACAGCAGGCCAATCAGTGTCCAAAAGTTGACAATAATATTAATAATTAATAACACGTTAAATGTTTAGTGCCAAATTGTCAAACGTCACTTTTTTTTATTTTGAGGCCTATTTGTGGGTAAGACTATTGTAGTTCTTGAAGAGGTATTATTGTATGTGTTTCTGTGTCAGATGTGAAGAGTAAGTTGAAAATGATTGATGATTAAATGATTTAAAAATAGAGCCTTACAGCATGAAAATAAATTGTGAAAAAATGTAGTTTTTAACTTTTTAATCAAGGAATCATACTAGTTTACTTTATTACAATTTCAGGTTTAAAATGTGTTCATTTCTGGAGTAAGATTTATTTTTGGTTTTGCATCTTTTACATTTTTTTCAGCTAATGCTGAAGCCTTACAAGCTATGATGACAAACCATCATCCAGGGGACCCGGAAAGGTAGGATTGCTTCTGATACTTAAACTGTTCAGAGTTTTGTTAAAAAATAACTTACAAGGAAATGATTGTACTAAACAGTATTATGAACAGGGAGCTCAAAGAAAATATTTGTCTGGATGATGATCAGAAAGATGCCTGACATGGTGAATTCAAATGCAATATTAATTTGAGAATATTGAGAATACATAATTCCTTATTAAAGTTCACCCTAGTAAGTGGCTCTTCAGGACTGTGCTAAAAAGGGATGAAGAGTACTGTTTCTTGACTATCTTCAATGACAGCTTAGTTCCAATGCAGGTAAAGCTTGTGGCATATTGGATGGATGTCCAAACAATTCTCTTTATCCTGCGCTAGATTGGTATGCAGAGGTAAGCAATTGTTGCTTGAACTCCACACTTCCAAAAGGTGGAAACATTGCTATTGGTAGAGACTTGCAAGCCATGTTTTTTGTCTGGGAATGTGAGTAATAAAGGGGAACTGCAGGAAAGAGAACATTTTACAAACATAGATGCAGAAGTTCCACTAGGTTGGAACATTACCTTCACATGCTCATTCCATGTTTAGGTAAGGAAATCTTAAACGTCTGTTTATTTCTCTTAGCTATTTGAAAAATAAATTAAAAGTCCTCCCAATGTGAAAGGTGCTATACAAATGTAATTTTGTATTGTAAAAGTGAAAGGGTGTTGTGAAAGCACAAAATTTGTAAGCTGCTTAAACATGGTGCATGGTGCCCTCCAGTGGTTTAAGTAAATGGATAATTTGAGATATGCATTACAGTCTGGCTAATTTTGGTAGAGTGTGTTACTAGGTTAAACATTAGTGTGTTAATATTCCAGAATATTTCTGAAGGACAATCCTTTGATAATTTTTAATGATTCATTTAATTAATTATTAGTCAATGAAATAAAGCATTCCTTCTATAATAATATTCCTTGCATTTGATATAGTGCTTTTCACGTCTTCTAGACGTCTCAACGAGCTTCACAGAATATACTGTAAAGTGAATTGACTGTATATTTGTGGGTGAAACGTGGCAGCCAATTGCGCACAGCAGTGTCTCTTCTGGTTCAACGGTGCTACTGCTTGTGGCTAGCTTGTAACTTTTAAAATAAATATTTGGAACACAGTAAATATGTGCAAATTAACTTAGCATTAACTTAACAACTCAGAAGTTAGACGGAAGTGGTCTATGGGCTCGAAATGGTCTGTGGGATGGTGAAGAAGAAGCCCCTAAACATTTGCACCAGTCTAGGTAAATTTGGGTTTGATTGGTAGTATGCTTTCAGGTTTTTCTTGATTTGATTTATGTCGTAACTGCTTGAATGGGTTCTAATGGGGCCACCCAATTTCTTTTACAGAATAACTTTTCAGGTTGTGGTAATGGAGGTAGCTTAAAAATTGGGGGTGGGAGGGGTGTGCAAAGGAAAAAAACAGTTAGAGCCTTTGTTTGACTGTTCCTTTTTTCTTAGGAACAGTGGTGTTGCACTTCTGACCATTACTTGTTTTTTGCTTTAAGCCCTTCAAGTCCCAATGGTCCTCCAAGTCCAACCAGTCCTATTAGCATTGAAAGTCCAAGCAGTCCTACATCTCCTACATTTCAACAAGGAAGCCAAAGCAAACACTCTTGCCATGGACACCATCTACATACCGTTGGAGGTGTGGTGGAGAAAAATGCATGCTCCCGTTGTAGCCACCAAAAGAGGCGCATGTCAAGGAAGAATTCAGCAAGAGAATCCAGAAAGAGTCGCATGGGAGAGGTTACAGTATTGGCAGTAGGAAGGTAAATAATTACATTCAACTTTATAGAAATTGAGAACATTTAATTTTGGAAAGTAACTTATTAAACTGGGATGAGATATAAATATTTGTTGGCTTTGTGCTGTTTCCTTCCCATCAAATCTGCTGTCAACACTTCCTCAACCTTTTCAAAAACCTATCCTTTCAATTTACTCGTCCATCTCCAACCTGCCCTTCCTTTCCTAAGCCCTGAAACGCATTGTTGCCACTCAGCTTTGCTCCTATCTTTCCCCTCACTGCCTATTCAAACCCTCCAGTCCAGCTTCCAAGCAGCACACAACAGTGAGACAAACCTCATTAAAGAAACCTTCAATATACTATTTGAGAGTGAGAAGAGCTCGCTCCTTGTCCTCCTTTGACCACTTCATCCTTCTTGATCCCCTCTTCCTTCTTCACTCACCTCCATGGGATTCAATCACCACTTCCACCTTGTCTTTTCCAATAATTTTTCCACTTGCTCTTGTGCAGTTATCTGTGGAGTCCTTCAGGTCTCTTCTATCCTCGGTCACCTCCTTTTCCTCATCTACATGCCTCCTCTTTGGGACATAACCTGTGGACACAGGGTAAAGCAAGTATTATTATTATAATAACTTCCACAGGTCCATTGATATTCTGTTTGCCTGTCAAACATCAAGACAAAGTTGAACTTTAATTTCTTGCAACAACGACATGGACTTATATTGCGCCCTCCACGCAGTGTAGTTTAAGAGTGGCAGAGCCTCACTTCAAGCTGGGGAGTGGGGAAGTGGCCATAAGCACGGTCGAAGAGGAAGGTTTTCAGGCGTGACTTGAAAAAGGGGAGGGAGGGCGGCCAAGATGGAGGGATTGAGGGAGAGTTTTCCAGAGTTTTGTGGTGTAGTGGCTGAAAGCGCAACCTCCAATGGTGGGGTGGAAGATGCGAGGGACGAGCAGGAGGCCGGTGCCAATCGAGCAGATGCACTGGGTGGATGATTGAGGAGGTTGGAGAGGTAGGGAGGTGCCAGAGAGTGAAGGGATTTAAATACGAGTGTGAGCATCTTGAAGTCAATCCATTCGGTGATGGGGAGCCAGTGGAGCCTGGCCAGAACTGGTGAGATGTGGGTACGGAGTTTGGTCCGGGTCAGTATGTGGGCAGCAGAGTTCTGAATGAGCTGAATCTTTTGAATAGTGGAGCTGGGGAGACTGGCGAGGAGTGGGTTTGAGTAATCCAGGCGGGAGGTGACAAGCATATGCACAAGGGGTTGGGCTGCATTTGGGGTAAGGTACGGTCGAAGGTGGGAAATGTGGAGGAGGTGGAAGAAGCCGGTCCTGGTCAGGGATTGGATGTGGGGGGGAAGGACAACTGTGGGTCGAACCGGATGCCTAGATTGCGCACTTGTTCGGTGAGTTTGAGGTGAGCCCAGGAAAGTTGAGGAGTTCAGATCCGCAAGAATGAAGATGTTGACGGAGCCAAGGAGAATGACTTCCGTCTTGTCCATATTCAGCTACAGGAAGTTTGCACTCATCCAGGCCCAGGCCTTGTAGCTTGGCATGGATAGGATGTTGTACCAACGATTCCGCACTTCTGGATCTAACTTTCTCTATCATCCTGCCTCCCTCTCAAATTCACTGGACCAATGCACAACCTTGGTATTCAATTGAAACCTAAATGTCCCTTCTATTCAGTCCCTAACCAAGATTACTTTTTGCAACATTGCCCGCCTCATCAAATGCTGTCAAGATCCTCATTCATGCCTCCAGACTCAACTTCTAAAACCTATCCTTGCTGGTCTCCACCTAAGCTGATCCAAATCTGCTGTTCGCATTCTCAACTGTACCAAACTCTGCATGCCCATCATCCTAGTTTTTGCCTGACTCCCAACAGATTAACTTCCATATCCTCATGCTCACCTATAAATTTGTTCACACCTTAGCATCTCTATGATCTTATTCTACACCACTTTTCTGCTTGCCTCCTCCATTTGGCTAACTTTGGCCTCCTGTGCATCTCCCAGCCCCTCAGTGGCTAAGTGTTCAACAATTACTCTTAAGCACTGAAACTCCATCTGTCTCACTCCCACTAATGATCTACCTCTTGGACTTCGCCTACATCGCCCCCCTCCCCCATCCTTCACTTGTCATCCAAGCCCATCTCTGTGAAGTACTCTGAGATGTTACCTTGTGTGAAAGGTGCTATATAAATGCAAGTTCTTAATATTCCTGGTTTAGAAAGCAATTTCTTGTTGACTCATCTTCCTATTTGTATTTCTAGGTTTCGAGTTACACATGTAGATCGAAAATCCAGTTTGAAAGAACACAAAGGTTTGATCCTCACCCCTATAGATAGTGCCAATGAAGGTGAAAATTCAGACAATCAAGTACCAAGCTCACCAACAAAACTGGATGACAAAGAGGTGAGTGGGGAGTGACTTCTGCAAGGATTGCAACAGCAAAGTGCTGGCAACGGCAGACTGGTGGCATTTCTCTTGCCTGCCGATTTTATCTTTGTGGAATCTGTCTCAGTATTTTCAGAGGGAATGCAACTGTGCGTAGAGTCATTCTGTCCTTTTGAGGAAGATAATATTGCAAGATACGTTCAGAGACATTGCACATGTGCAAAAAGATTAGTGTTATTTTTGTGATTGCCACTAACAAGATAATAACAGATGTATCTAAAATGAGAATGATTTTTCTCTGTCTTTTTCCTGATTCGCTCAATATTCAGGCCAAGGTCCTTGTCACCTCTAGTGTTGTTTAAGGAGCAACAACAAGATTTCATTTGTATAGTGCCTTTCACGTCAGGAGCATGAAAAACCTAGAAATACAAATAGGAAGATGAATACCCAAATGTGATTTGTTTTGTGGAAGATATAATATTGTATGCCATATGCATGTAAAGAAAGAACGTCAGTAAACACTAATTTTCAAATATTCTGGCACTGCACCATGGTAGTTATTGAAGTGCCAGTTTCACTTACTGTGCATTTGGAGGCATAATATAAACCCAGCATTGCATTACTGACTGATCACGGCTGCATTCAAGCCAGGAGATGCAGTATAACACAAATTACGTTTATGTAGAGCCTGTTTATATAGATGGACTATTTGTGCTGGGAATAAGTCTGTGCTAATACTTGCATTTGATATTATAATCCTTGCATTTGATATAGCACTTTTCACATCGGGAGGATGTCCCAAAGCGCTTCACAGAACACACTGTAAAGTGAATTGACTATATTTGTGGGCGAACGCGGCAGCCAATTGCACACAGCAATGTCCCACAAACAGTCGTAGATTGAAAATGACAAATTTATTGTTTTTTTTGGTTTTGGAGGGATTATTATTAGGTGTGTGGAGTAAGGAAACTTGCCCAAGGTTTTGCCCTGCCTGGAATTGAACTCAGGTCTCTAACCACTGCTCTAACCACTGAGCTACAGGACTCCACTATATATTACCTATAACTTTGAAACATTCTTAAGATCTTCAGTTAATTTCTGTTAATACTGTTTATAGGCAAAAGGACCATTTATGCAGCCTGTTGTCTCAGTTTGTAGCATCCTTGTGTTTGTCTGGATGAGTAAAGTTAGCTGCAGTGTCCTAAGGGCTTATGCATCTAGTCTTTACATAACAAATATTAAGTGTATGTTGGAGGGAGAGATTGAAAAGGCTCTTGAACACTGTTGAGACAAATCATAGAATAGCCATGTTCCAAGGAAATCTCCTGATATCACGCTGGCATGTCCTCTTTCGTGATCTGCTTGATGAAACTCAGTGGTGCCAAGGCACTTATGGGCAGGATTGAAGCTAATATTTTAAAATACTGTTATTTGTTTAGATATAAAACCCATAACCTACAACAACCTTATGATTATCAGTAATTTTATTTGGGAAGAGATGGGAATTTCTTCTCACGTCTTGGCCAACAAGCTTCCAGCTTAATTGGTTAGAATTCTTGCATACAAAAATATTCACTTCGCTTAATTACTTGTGAAGCACTTTGAGACGATTTGACGTGGTAAAATGTGATAGAAATGCAGGTTATTTGTAATGCATAGACATTAACTTATTTCATGTAGTGGTTACTTATTTTGTTTTTCTTCATAGCATAATTTATCTGTGTACACAGGCGTAGAGGAGAAAATAGTGAACAAGATCTCCAAGTGTACTTTTTACATGCAAGGCTGCCTCTCCTATTGGTCAATGGTGGAGTGGTGTTGACTGTTACAATGGAGAAATTTGCAGTCCTGACTGTCTTCCAATAGTGATTGATGGAAGTTAAGATCTCAAGATCACTGCCTATAGGCCCTACAAATGTCAAAGTGACCATAACTGTATTCAGTACTTTAGATGTGGTTTGAGCAAAGCACTGTATTGCCTGAGTATGATGTCTGGGGATTTAAACTCAACTAATTTTATAAATATAGCCCACAACATGCATTGTGATAGTTGTAATTGAATTACTTTAACTTAAAGTTGTTTCCAATAAAACTGAATTGGTTCTTATCCTGACCAGTTAGTTTGCTGGTTTAAAATATTTGATTTGCTTTAATAGTTCTTCTTTTTCTTCACAGGAGAAAACGCTTCAGTGACAAACCAATGAGAGAGGTGTCTGCTTTTAATAGACACCAAATATGAAACCGTCCTTTCTTCAATCATAACATGTTTTTAAAAGCAATGCATTTCTAAACCTTGTTTGTTTGTTTGGATATCCGTATACCTGCGATTTTATAGACTTCTCTGATTTTTTTTCTTGAAACCAAAGCTTATGCACTGGAATTTAAAAAATCTTTGACTGAATTTTAATATAAGCCATGTTCCAGGTGCTTGAAATACATAAAGCCCTTCTGCTGCTCTAAACATCTGTCAGTCTGAATGTTTAAAGCCAACTTTATGGTTCACCTATTTCCCTCATTTTCCTTTGCGTTGGTACTTTTTTCCTTTGTTGACAGAATTATTGTCAGACCCTTCCTTATCTGCTTCCATGTTGCAAAAATATTTAATATTTAGTAATTCAATATTGTCTTTCCCAAAAACATTGCATTAGCAATGACATAGCCTGTACTCTATTCTGGAAATTGGGAGCTCACATTGGAAAAGTTCTAGGTGATAGGCGATTAATAGACTTGAGTATTTCTTATGAGGAAAGGTTTTCATTTATTTGAATAATGTTAAGGGATAATTTATTTGCTTTCCCCAGTGTTTACATAACCAACTGATGGTTTATGTAATAGCATGAGTTAGATGGAACATAAATTGTACAATGTCCTAATAGTAGATTAAATGTCGTCCTCATTAACTGAATAGCAGAGAAAAATCTTGAAAATGGTTGGAATTCTGCTTCATTGGAATAGAAAGGGATAAGAATTCTTAACTTCCACCTTGGAACATCCATCATCGACAAAGTGTGACATTGTCTCAATGTTGTGGAATTTAATAAGAGTCTTTATGTATTACACTATGCAAAATTACACTTCTCTGATTAAAAAGATGCAATTATCATGGCAGCTTTACTGCTGTGTTAAGTTCTGTTTATATGGGACAGGATAAAACATTTCCTAAATATAGTAAGGTTCATAGATGAAATTGTATTATGGGTTTAGATCTTTTGCATCTAAATTCATAAAATTAAGTGTGTCTTTCTATTAACTTAAACATGTGGTTGTATGATATTAAACTGTTGCAGAAAGTACCAAAATATTGACCTATAAGTATAACTGATTAAATTCATGGCAGGAAAGTCTGCGGGATACAAATTACTCCTGGCTACTGTAGAAAATTCTAAACAAAAATGCATAATGCTTTTAATTGCATATCCTTGTGGTTCAACATCTTCCTTCCAATTTCCAAGCTAATCTGCTGAATTGGAAGTAATTGACTGCTAAGAAGTTGCATGGATCTTCGTAATGCTCAGAGGGACAGATGGTTGACTGGCCTTAGAGGTTATCCAATTCAAAGTCACCTAATACAAGGATAACATAATACTAGCTAAGTGACTATTGATCAATTAAGGCTGATCCAGAGTGCGTTCTCCATTAAAGTAAATATACATTGTGTGTATGCTTGATCGTTTTTATCATTTGTCATTGAAACACTTTAGTTGAACAGGAGCTGAATCTGGAATTCCTCAAAACGTGAAGATTTGGGAATTAAAGGTATCCTATTTTCGCAAGCATTTTTCATATGCATGTGAAATTTACTTTACTCAATTTATTTTTAACAGAAAGTGCTCCCCTTGACTTTGCTTTCCCTTCAAAGATTATGAAATTCCTTTCACACAAATATTTTCATAATGCAACATCCTTTCCTGTGTTTAATGCAACTGTCACTTCAGTTTTGAAGAAATGTGAATCGCCTGAACTTCATAAAGTTCAATCAAAGGTAAATCTACCCAGTTTAGAGAAGGTTCCATTGCCTAATCACCAGCAGGATATTTTGCTATCATTGAGTAACATAGTTTTTTACAATTGTTCCATAATCAAAGTTTACATCTTGGCAAGAATTTGTTTTCATGAATGCTTTATACTTCTGAACATGTTACTTTGTGGCACAGATCAGAATTGTGGCTGTAAAATATTTGCATATCTAACAAAGGTTTATCTTTAAATAACAATGACGATAAACCTTGGAGAATGATAGTTTCATACTTTGCAGGAGGTTAATCAGAGTAACTAAATTTTAGAACCCAGTACTTGATTTATTTTAATGTATGTGGTTAATATTAAGGAGAAAATATATCCTTGGGATGAAAAGGAAAATATGACTAGTTTACAAGTTATCATGAGAAAATATAATTTAACTATTGCCTTGCCTCGTTCCGTTCTAAAGAACATCAAGTTAACAAAAATTGCAAGAAACCATCCCAAAATGAATCGCATGTTCTCTGTTCTATGAATTGATTGCTATGAATACTTTTATATTAGTCAAAAGCAGCGGAGTTCTAAACAAATCTGTGTTAATCCTGTGTTAAAGTATTTCAAAGCTGCCTTAAGAAAATTCTTGCATCTGGCAAAAAAATCAAATATTATGACAAGCAGGGAAACATTTCAAGATAAGATGTTTCTAATTTTAATTTGTCAATCTGTCAAATTAAAACATTTTATCAACTATTTTAGACCATCTCTAAAGAGGTCAGCATCAAAGATGGCCATGGTTTGGTTTGAGTAAAATGCATCAGCTTTACTACATAAACATCATTGCCTAGTATAATTGATTACAGGGCATCATTTCTGAAATCTGAGCTGATATTATGTGCACAACTTTCATCAGTTCACAACATTTTGCCTCAATTAACATGTTGCCAGGTGTCTTAATTTTGTTTTATCCTAAATATTGGTATCCTGCAACAATATCCTATCCTTGGTCTGCATCTTAGTGCTTATTTCTGCTACAGACCACTGTAAATAGTTTACATTGTTTAGGCACAGTAAAATATTTATAGGAACTTTTTTGTATTTATGTGCAATATGAAGGGATATGAGGAATAAAAAGATGGGGTTCACTGCTGTGGTGCATTGTTTCATCAATGTGTCAAACTGGCAATTTGTTTATATTTACTCCTTATGATCCTGCATGGTTTTATTTTTGCTCACATCTTTCACTTTGAAGATGTCCAGTTTAAAAATATTTGCACTGTAATTACATGCCCACCTGGTTATCCTGCTCAAATGGCAAAACCAACTTGTACACATTTATGTGAGCTGGTTAAACAGAAGAAACTTATGGTTTCTTACCACAAGTATTTTTAACTTAAATTCTTGTTTTTTAGGACACCAAATTTAGTTCCTGTGAGTAGCAATGACAAACTTGATACAACTACATAGGTGTGCATCTTTTAAATTTGCCTTTAAGAAACAATGCAGTCTAGTTTTTCTGTGCAATATGGAATATTTAAATATAACGTGCTGCTTGAACTGACATTCCTGAGATATGATTAGTATGTGCTAGTACAGTGTTTATATGTTCATATTCTAAGATTTTATATGCAAACCATTAACATAATTGTAAATTTTGTTCCTTCATACTTAGTTTGTACATTGCTATATTTGAAGTTAATTGTTTGCTAGTGTCTGCTTTTGTATAATTAGAAACCCACTGTATGCTTTGCCAACGTCAGCTTTACAATATTTTTTGTTGTACACAAATTTTGAAGGTCTTTGGCATGTGTATGAAAAGTCTTTTTATACTTAAACATTTTTGAAAATTAGAACAATGTTTTTTTAAAAAAACTAACTTTAGAAAACACTAACTGGAATAAAAAATGTTTAGGATAAACTACAGTGATGTACTTTTTAGAAATCAGAACTTTCAAAATGTAAATGTGCACTTAAAACTACAGAGGCATATATAGATATGATTATACTAGTGAACTGTCACTTTAGATTGACTAAAGGGGTTTTGTCCTTTTAGAATGCTTATAAAACTTAATAATAGGCAGTGATGTTTATTATAATAATAATAATGTTTATGAATAAAATCCATGGAATTTCTTTTGGAATAAAATCTACAAACCTAAGCACTTCTGTAATCTTACTTTCTTTGGAAGTTCGAATAGAAGTATCCCTAGAAATTTTTGAGCACATACAGTTAAGACAATGTTTAAGTACTTAGCAAGAGCAAGTTAACCAGAGTTTACAATTCTATTCAGAGACATCCACTTACCTAATTTATCAATCTGCCTAACTGGGATATCACTGGCAGCTGGGATGTGCACATTCCAGATGAAAAGGTTTTGCAGTCTGGTTCGCTGGCCACCTTTTAGGAACTTTTGATAATTTTTGTCGTGATTTTTAAAAAATATATTTTTCACCCTTATTGATCAATTGTACTTTGGTCTGTCTGGCTACCATCCCCATACTTTTACCATCACTACTACACCTCAGTGCCTTTTCCTTGGCCCACTCTGGCCATTTCCTCCTTAGAAAGCACCCCATAATTCCTATCATTTTTCTCCATTGATCTCTTGGCCTAATCCTAATGCCCCAATCCTCTGCTTCTTTACCAGATGTTATGCTTCGTCACTAATGCCATCTTATATATAGAAACAGAAATTTTCAGCACAGAAGGGACCATTTGGCGCATGCATTAGGGTGATCCAAATGCATCTGCTTATCTCTTTCCATCTGGGTCTGATTCCCTCTTTCAAAACTATTGTCATCATCCCCTTAACAAGCCCTTACTTAACCCTTCCTTGGTCTCTAGCTACTGATCAATCAACAACCTACCCTTTAAAAGCTCTAATGAAAAATGTACAATAACTATTTTTTTAAGTATTTTAGCTATTTTGACTGACTAGCTTCATTGTTTTAATGTTGATAATTAGGCCATGAAGATATTTTGGGGGGAAAATGGGCATGGTCGAATAAGGTGAGGTTCTTGAGGTAGCTTGTGCTGTGGAAATAAAGTTCACAGACTAGAGGAGAAAACCGTGCAATCCACATAGCATTAAAAGGGGTGTCACTAATGGGAAGATGCTAGTGTTTTGCTTTTCATAAAGGTGACCATGTTCAATTGCTGTTTCTAGCCATACAGCAATATAATAAATAATAATCATCCTTGGATTTGGTGTAACACTTCATATCAGGCGGATGTCCAAACGTTTCAAAGTATATACTGAAAAGTGAAGCATGTATTTTCTGGGTGAATGCGCAGCCAATTTGAACGCAACAGTGTCCTAACAAACAGTTATGAAATGAATCAATGATTTTATTTGGGGGATTATTAGCCAGGACACCTGGATGTTTGAATAGTGCCATGGGATCTTTAACATCCACCTGAACAGGCAGACAGGTTTATCAAATCTGATTACATCGGATCTGCAAACCCTGTGTGAGGTAGCTAATTTGAAGATGACATCAAATTGGGGGAAACTAGAAACGGAGGCGGCGGCAATGGTATTACACAGAGCTTGATGGGAATTTCACGTGATGATGACCGACAAATGAAGTCCGATACTGATAAATGGTATTAGAAGAAGAATAAGAAATGTAGATACTCTATGGATCAGTTTGTCACGGTTACCCCTTTGTTTTCTATGCCTGTCTGTTTAAAATATGTTCTGTAAAGTTTGTGTTTGCTAAAAGCATTAGCCAGTGTAATTACCGATTGTGCTTGGGGAAACTTGGAAAGTGCCAAAGTTCGGTAGAGCTGGTGCATGTGCTTTATAAATATATTGAGTAGACTTTTAAATACTTTTTTATATATTTAACGTTTTTATACTTATGTTGATCAGGTCTCCAAAGGCATCGGTTGCAACAATTTGTCGGGGTAACTTAGCATTCTAATAGGCAAATATATGTTTGGAAGTGTACTTGACCCCTATTGGACCATAACAAAGGCACAAATTACTTCAAGTAATTGGTGCAATACAATTACCATTGGATACCTTAAGTTGAGGAGGGGCTCAATGCCCATAGAAGAACGAGCGCCATGTCCTCAGGGTCGCTATTTTTCTATTTGATGGAGACAAAGGTACTTGCTCTGACTTGATGAAGAGTCACCAGAAGTTGGTTCTTCACACACTTCACATTAAATTCATTACAAGTGGTTGCTAGCATGTATAGTGTGGTTAAATGTGTTGCCTCATAGTTGTTTGTGGATATTTATCGTGTCATTTAAGATTTAATGCAGAGGGTTGTGGATTTCATCAAAGCTAGAATAAAATTCCATTGAGTTTACTTAACTGCATTTTCTCAAGCTTTCTGTATAAATCGAAGAAGGAGGGAATACACAAACCAGTTCAGCCTCGGTCACAGAGGTGTAAAATAAACCTCTGATTGATTGATGTGGAAAAACTCATTATTCAATTTACACCTACTTATAGGGACTTGCATTCATTTGTGAGGATTGAACACAAAGGCCACCCAGTACCCTCTGCGAGAGAGAGGGAGCCATATCATGGGTGTTCATATAGGGGTGTCAGAACCGTATCAAATTGCTAATGGAGATGCTGAAAGAGACCAAGGGATATCAGTTGAATCATATCTAAACAGTATAAGGCAACAAGAAACAATGAAAACTAGATGCTGCCAAATATATTGTCAAATAAACTTGAGTTTAGATCACTAGATTTTATACTTGAGATATAGAGTGCTCTGAACAGGCCACACCTTAAAGTAATGCATAGTTCTGTCCCCAGAGGCAATGTAGATAACAGTGAGGCTGATCATCAGTGTTCAAGGAATGACCTATGAGCATTGATGAGATAAGGCTCTTCAATCTTGAAGAGAGATGTCTCAGAGCAGACCTACTGGTGTATTAGATTTTAAATGAGATTGATAGTTACCCAGAACAATATTTTTTGGGGGGTCAGCCAGGTGTCTGACACATGGGTAAACCCATCACCATGCTTAAGATTGTCCAAACCAAGCTGAGATTTCCATGCATCCCACCTACACATGGAAATCCCAGAGATAGATTGTTGGAATGGAATATGCATTCTCTCCCTGGAGAGACACATACTGCTCACCTAATTCTGGAAAGCATTAGGCACAGGTTGGCAAGAGCCAAGGCCTGGGGTCCCCAGAATATGTCCTGGGGCACTGCTGGAGTGTAATCAGCTAAAACTGAGTAGCTTGCCATTGATAGCACTGTCTGGCAAGCTTTCCCGCTGCTTGTCCAGCTACAACAACAACAAGAAGATTGCATTTATAGAGCGCCTTTCATGTCGGGACGACGTCCCAAGGCGATGGACAGTTGGGTCGGGACCCGAGCAGGGGGCAAATAGTCAGGGTGAGTGGAGGGAGCGAGGAGGGGGTAGAGAGTCAAGAAGGGAGCTGAAGGCATGGTTGAAGAGAAAGGTCTTGAGACCGGACTTGAAGGAGGAAAGAGAGGAGGCAAGGTGAAGGCACTGGGGGATGGAGTTCCAGAGCCTAGGGGCTGAGAGGCTGAAAGCCCGGCCGCCGATGGTAGGGCAGTTAGGGCAGGGGATGTGGAGCAGACCGGAGCCAGAGGAACGAGCAGGTAGGTAGGGGGATAGTAGGTCGGAGAGGTAGGAGGGTGCAAGGCCGTGAATGGCCTTGTAGGTGAGGATGAGGATCTTGAATTCGATCCTCTGGGGGATGGGGAGGCAGTGGAGGTGAGCGAGGGTGGGAGTGATGTAGTTGCGAAGCCTGGTGCGGGACAGTATACGAACTGCAAAGTTCTGACCAACACTAACCAACAATAGTAACAATAACAACAAATCACATTTGTATAGTGCCTTTCATATCAGGAGGACATCCCAATGTGCAAAAGTTAGGGATTTGCACCAGAGCTGGTGGTTGGGATCTGCAGGGATGGAGGGCAGGGAGGGTAGTGGTCAGAGGGTAACCAAAGGCACAGTTGAAGAGGAAGGTCTCGAGATGGGTCTTGAAGGATGCAAGGGAGGGGATGAGATGGAGGGACTGTGGGATGGAGTTGCAGGGGGTGGGGCAGAGAGGCTGAAGGTTGATAGGGGGTTAGGAGATCACAGAGGTAGAGGGGAGAAAGGTCGTGGAGGGCTTTGAGTGTGAGGATCAGGATCTTGAACTGTATCCTCTGTGTGATGGGAAGCCAGTGGAGTCGGGCAAGGATGGGGGTGATAGGGTTGCGGAGCCCAGTGTGGGAGAGGACATGGGCTGCAGACTTCTGGATGATCTGCAACTTGTGGAGGGATGAGTTGGGGGGGTGACAAGCAGGGAATTTGCATAGTCGAGCCTGGATGTGAGGAACATGTGGATGAGGGTCTTGATGCCCTGTGGTGAGAGACAGTGGCTGAGGCGAGCAAAATTGCAGAGGTGGGGAAAAGTGGAGTGGGTCATAGCATGAATGTGAGGTATGAAAGACAGTTGAGGGTCGAACAATCTGCTGAGGTTCGGTAATGGCTCCATGAGATGTAGAGTGCATCCATGAAGGATGATGCTGTCAGCGCCCGAGGTATGGAGATGCTGACGGGAGCTAAGCAGGAGGGTCTCGGTCTTGTTGACATTCAACTGAAGAAAGTTAGCTCTCATCCAGGACTTGATGTCCGACAGGTAGTCTATGAGGACAGCAGTGGTCCTAGAGTCGCGAGTGGAGGTGAAGAGGTAGAGTTGGGTGTCATCGGCATACATGTGGAAGTAGGCTCCATGTCTACGAATGTCCAAGGAGGAGCATGTAGATGTTGACCACCCTACCTGGTTGCTTGCAGTGTTAACAGGAGCAGAGTGGCAGGATTCTCTGCCCTCAGTGACTGGTTTGCCCTGCCAAATCCTGCCGATGGACAAGGCTGGCTTAGGAACTACTGAAACCGCCACAGAGGGCTCGATTTCAATATTCCATTGCCAAACATGTCATCTTGGAGCTAGTTCAGCTCCAAAGCGACCATGCTTTCCCCCCACCCCCCCCAGGAGGATAAAACAATGCAGTTCAAAGCCCTCACATCAAGGATGATAACCCAGAGCAATAAGATGTGCTAAAACAGTGGAACAAGAGGGCACAATTACAAAGGACAAGTAACAGGAAGTAGTTCTTTACACAAAGTAATTAACAAACGGGTTGCCAGGTGGGTGACTGAGGGCACATTTGAGAAACTGATGCTTTAATGGGAGGATGCGGAGATATTGTGGAAGGACGAGTTCAAAGGGGCATGCCCATCCCAACATCTTGTGATTAACCAGGTATAAATTGACATGAAAGCAAAACTGCAATTTGTAGCTGGGCAATGTCAGAAAAAGATAGTAAAAGAGTTTTTAAATTGTGTTTTTTTTAAAAAAGTGTCCAATTCTCAAATAGTTGAGCTCAAATCTAGGGAGTGAGAATCTTATATTTTGGTGATTGATAACCATTCTAATCTACAGCACCTTTCCCTGCCCCCGGTTAACAAATTTTCTGAAAATTAGAACTGCCTGTGTGTAAAATAAACACAAACATCAGTAAAAGCAAGCTTATACTGCGTTGGAGTGATCGCTTGGATTACTCCAACGCACTTCTCGCCGGTCTCCCCAGCTCCACCATTCACAAGATCCATTTCATTCAAAACTCTGCCGCCTCCATACTGACCCGAACCAAACTCCGTGTCCACATCTTACCAGTTCTGGCCAGGCTCCACTGGCCAGGCTCAAATCCATTCACTCCCTGGCATCTTCCTACCTCTCTGACCTCCTCGCTCCCCAATCCACCACCTGGCGCCTCCGCTCAACTGGCACCAGCCTCCTGCTCGTCCCTCACACCCTCAGCCCTACCATTGTAGGATCTGCTTTCAGCCACTATACCCCCAAACTCTGGAACACTCTCCCTCAATCCCTCTGCCTTGCCCCCTCTCTCCCCTCTTTCAGGTCCCGCCTGAAAACTTTGCTCTTCAATCGTGCTTACAGCCACCCCCCCACCCCCCCCCGGCTCAGAGACGGGCTCCGCCACTATTAAACACTCTGAGACACCACTCTGTGTGGAGGGAGCTATATAAGTGCAAGTTGTTGTTGTTATACCAGATTTAATCTAGCTAGTAATGGCTCAGAGTTCAAGAATATAGTTACGAATCAAGGTGTTTAAATAATGGAAACAAGTGGTATCCAGTAAACAATTGTTCAAGTTTCAGTGTTTAAAAACATTACTTTTTATACTGGAAGATTTTTTNGTACAATACAGCAGTTACATTTTTGGTTAAAATATTTCATTACAGACAAAAAGCACAGAAATAAATTGTCATCTCATGTTTTCATTATTAAATGACATTAGCACAGAATTATAAATAGAAAGTAGTGTGTTTTCTCTTTTTCATCTCATTTATTAGCTGACCTACATGAATCTCATCTTAAAAGCTTTACATTTATCAATTGCAGATATACATTTTATACATGTCATTATATACAATGTTGAGTATAATACATTATGTACATAAATTTTCCAAGCCCTTCAGAGCCATTGGACTTGTTAACAGAGTGCTGAACCTGCCACATTTTCTGGGAACAGAATAATATGGTAGTGCTTCATTCACAGTCAATATGTATGCCAATGTGTGCTTTCTTCTTTACAGGAGTAATATCTTTAAAATCATCTTTCTCTCACTGGCATCCAACTTTGTGCAACTGAATGTTGACCAGACTGAAGACATACTCCCTGGCTCCCGTCAATGTCTTCTCATCTGTGGGTTCGACCTCCTTAATCTCCCCATTTTATCCCTCAGACTTACTGATCCTGGGAGCAACCTAAGGGCAGGTTTGATCTCCACCTGTGCTTCCTATCCCTGATCTAGTCCCTGATCAAAACTGCTTCTTCCATTTCCACCCTTCCTTCACCCTCGATGAAGCCAAAACCCTTATCCACCCATTTGTCACCTCCTGCCTTGATTATTCTAATGCCCTCCTCCTATACCCCACTCCACTACCTACTGCCTTCACGCAGTTGGCTCCGGCTTCCTGCACGTCCTTCGTTCTCTCCGCTCCATCATCGGTGTCCTTGCTTTCAGCCATTATGCTTGAAACTATGGAGTGTGAAGGATGCTATATAAATGCAACTTGTTATTAAATGCAAATGTCTATGCTTCTGTCCATCGTTATTATTAGAATACATCATTCTAATAATATTTTTCCACGCAGGACTGAGGTCTGTGAAAAATATATAATAATTCCCCATGAATTATCTTAAGCTAGGACATTGTAAGATGCCAACTCCAGTTTACCTTAAAAGAAATTGCATGTTGTTTTGGAATTGAGAACTGTTGAATTCAAAACTGTACTGACACTTCTCACCAAAGAACTAGTGCCAACATTTGACGAGTTAAAGCAATCACTCATTTTCTTCACATATAGGCAAAAGCATTTAACACATTATTCTTGGGCACATTCTCAAAACGTATTAGCTCAATTGTCACATGATGACAACTTTGTTTTGTTATTTTGCAAAAGATATGTTTGCAGATAAAATACATTTGAATGCTGAAATGTGGGATGTGCACATGATGCCCTATCCCGACAGCAGAACCTGCAAATGTAGGCAAAGGAACTAATCTGAAAAGACTGTATATGTTATAAATAAAGGAGCTTGGAATAAATCACCGATACACAACATAATTATGTTTCAGACGATGCTTGTGATTTTGTCATCTGTACACCAAGATTGTTGCAACCATGTGACTTATTTTAAGCTGCTGATGATAAACATCTATGTATTTAGCTCCAATCATCTAGAAAATCCTCTCCTGCCGTTGCTGCCTCTAATGCTGCAAGAGCAGCTGCCACCTCTGGATCCTCCTCCTCCTCCTCTGTAGTTTGTTTCCTTTCTTCCACCAGGTCTTTGATGAATTCTGTGTTAACGTTTCTTATTCTGTCACTACCTGGAGAACAGATTGCATTACTGGACTCAGAGTTTGTTAGGCTTGAGACTTGTAGCATAATTTCACCATTACTTTCAAAGTACCGCTTCATATAATCTTTGCCACTGTCTGTTTCAGTAATTTCTAGTTTTTTGTATCCATTTAAGGTATTTATGTCTTCATTAAAAGTTTTGGATAAACGGGTTATTTTCAACTCTTTTTCCATTGTATCCAACATACATTCGTTTTTCATATGTGATACATTTCTGACATTTACAATGTCAACTTCATTATCTGGCATTTCTTTATCTGCTTGGTTGGTTGTATGAAATTCATGGAAATCTTCCACTTTAGCAGAATGTACAATGGATAGACCATTAAGTGTACAATCACTGGTCTCTGCTCCCACGTCATCTTTAGCTGTATCCGTTTTATTGGTGGAGGAGAAATCACCTCTACTGGTTGCTCTACCTTTATTATCCTCAAGTAAAACTTCATGGGAATCCAGACGTTTTAATACGTTATGATGAGGAAATTTACCTTCACTTTCAGTTTCATCATTAGCTTTTCTCACTGCTTCTTGTACACGTGTTGTGCTTTTCTCTTGTGGTAACTTACTTTCCTTTTCAATTATTCCCACATTTTGTTGACTGGTTTCTTCTGCCAAGTTTTTTATTTTGTCTAAAGTTGAAATAACAGAGTTGTTGGAGTTGAGACAGCTATTGTGAGTTGAGATCTCCCGTTTAATTTCATTCTGTTTTTTCTCATTTCTTATACTGCTGGGAGGCACTTCTCTTATAATAGCTGGTCCAAAAATGTAGCTGAAACAAAGAGAAATAAATAAGCACAGTGCGTACATATTTAAAAGTCACAATTCTCTGCTCAAATCCTGGTTCAAGCCTGTGTGTATATTTGATCACTGGCCCAAGACTCTCAGTCAAGTCATCCGCACAACTAATAGAATAGAGAGGAAAAAAGAGTCAAATATCTTCAGAGGAGAAGGAAGAAGACTGGACGAGGAAACAAAAACTGCATAAGTAATCCTTCAAAATGCTGATGTTGTTAGTTTTGATTATGTTGTCTTTAAAGAATAGGTTCAGCAGCATCCTAAATACACTCTGCTACAAAAAGCTAAATGTTCTTACCTTTTTATCATTCTACAGCATCTGCACCCCATCTGAGCAGTTTTATTCAGATTTTGGAAGACAGAAACTGTTAAAAAAAATCACAGAATTAGAACAGTTAAACACATACACGTTTATGTCCATGTTATGCTTTTATATGTGACCAGACATACACCACAAATTATCCTGGAAGAAAAATATCAAAATAGGTTTAGGAAAGGGCAGAAGAATGGTTTGTTCTAGCAAGGGTGGGGTTGTTAGCACTAACACAGTAACAAATAACCTCCTCTATGTTGTAAACTATGCTGAGGGTGTGCTGGATTGTTGGAGGTACCGGCTTTTGGAAGAGATAATAAACTGAGGGCCCGCTATCCTGCGTGAAGGATGCTATATAAATGCAAGTTGTTGTTCTCGGCCTGTTTAGGTGGGTGTTGAAGATCCTAGGGCACGTTTCGAAAAGAGAAGGAAGTTTCTTCCAGTGTCCTGGCCAACAATCTCCCAAATAAAATTGGTCATTCATTCCATGGCTGTTTGTGCGACATTGTTAATCACAACTTGGCTGTCATGTTCGCACATAAATCACACAGTCACTGCACTTTACGGTATACTCACTAAAGGGGATTGTTTGCAGCAAATCTGTACCGTTCCCTCTGCTGCTCACCTTTAACCCAACTACACACGGTCTAAGTCTCCAGCACTATTTTACAAATATTCTATAATTTCTTTAAAAAAAGTCTTCCTCTTAACTAAAAAAAATGGTTGTTTACCAATGGGAATCAATTAGACGATTTGGTGAAAATCGGAATTACCGATTAAAAATATATATTATCAGAAACTGACAAGCTTGGGTATAAAGAAACATTTATTATTGATGCTTTTATATTTCAGAACCACTATATGTTGGGCCACGGATTCTACAGAAAAAGACGCATGTTTAAACCATCTCAGAGACATTTTACAGATGGCTTTGACAAGCGATTATCCAGAACAACTGCTGGAGGGCCAAAAGTTACATTTTACTAGTAGAGATTACTGGCAGAAGTAAAACTGGGATGGTTCGGAACAATTATGACACCAATTGCAATAGAGAGGTTTTTTNCCACACACATGACAGCTCATAATGGCAGGTCAGACTAAACCAAGAGGCAATCTTTTTTGAATAAGTTTAATGGCAAACATGTTTCTTTTCTCAATTTCTATCCCCTCAATTTCTCTCTCTTTGGAAAGTGCTGACATGTTGGGGTGCAGTTCTACAGGGATTAAACAGCCCAACACACCCAAGTGGCCTAAAATAGCATTGTTGTCAGGCTAAGGAATGGCTCAATCCTGCTCCCACGTAGTAGTAAAAATTCCATTCTAGTTTAGATTTAAATTATTAATGTAGCATTTTAGTATAGTAATAATAATAATCCTTGCATGTGATATAGCACCTTATCACATTGTTGAGACAGCTTGAAGAGCTTCACAGGATATATTGTAAAGTGGATTAAAGGATTTTGAAACCTGTTTTCTTTTAAGTTTTTTTAAGAACTAAGGAAAACCATCTACATTAATAGTCAATCTAGACTCAGGTGGAATTTTATGGAAAGTTCACTTTTCTGCGGCGCAGACTAAATAATGATCAGGAATGGGAATCCTGACTTCTTTCATTCCTCCCTTGACAAAGCCACTAAACTGAGTTATGGTGTACCACCATAACTTTCTTTTATACAGCTTCGGGCAGGACAGCATCTCCGAGTGCTGCACAGTGCGGAGGGGGAGGGTAAAGTGATCATAGGCGTGTTTGCCCTATCTGAGATGAGCTAATTCAACACAGGGTTTGAACTGTTACAATGATTGTGTACCATGCAAGAGGTTTACTCATTGAGCTCTGAGAGAATTTCAGGATTACCTTCAATTCTTCACCTTGGTGCTTATCATACTGAAGAATAATGTTAGCAGAATTACTAGAGCAATAAATTGGTGTCATAAGCATTTGATAAAACAAAATCAAATTATTCAGTGTGATTCATTAATAAATTGGATTTTCGATTCAATTAAAAGACACTGATGCAATTCTTTGTCAACTCATGTGCTTATTAGTTTATCTTAGATTTGACACAATGGGTTTAAAAGATAAATAATAATAATCCTTGCATTTAATATAGTGCCTTAACACGTCTTCGAGACGTCTCAAAGCGCCTCACAGGATGTACTGTAAAGTGAATTGACTATGTTTTGTGGGCGAAATGCGGCAACGAATTGCACACAGCAGTGTCCTACAAACAGTCATGGATTCAAATGACCAATTTATTATTATTATTCTTTTGAAGGAATTAATGCCCCTGGAAAAGTGATCCATCAATTGACTAACAACTGGGTTCTTACTCACTGCTAGATAAACAGAGGTTTGTGGAGTAAGGAAACTTGCTCAACATTTCCCCCTGTCGGGAATCGAACCCAGGTCTGTTGCTTGCGAGGCGAGTTCTCTAACCACTGAGCTACAGGACTCCACTTAAAATATTATTAATTTATAATATAACAAAATATAAATTTATTCAGATTATTCAGGAAATATGTTTTGCGAAGACCAAACCAGAGGATCAGTCAATTCTGAGACACCTATATGAAACCAGAGATGTGAAACCTGGATACTCATTTACTCACATTTACTCACATTTATATTTATCAGAAGTAACACAGATTGCAAACCTATTTGAATTATGCAAACTTAAAAAATTAAAACTGATGTGACTATTTTTAATTTCTAATATTAGTTGATAGATCTGATAAATCATGTATAGTCATTATTTGGGCTCCTATGACTGTAAAACTCATGTACATCTGATGTGTATAAATTGTATAATTGCCTAAGTCATACATCTGTCCAAGTCCTGTTCAAGACTGGATATTCTAAGTTTGAAGTTTGACATAACTCATACTTTGCAGAAATCATATTAAATACATGGTCCCAACTGATACCAACATATGTGAGATTTACTGTGTAAAAAAANCCCAAGGGAACAGATTCTGCCTAAGTAAAGCCACATTAGGCAGCAGAAACTCTGAGATGAAGTGCTTCGTTTTAATGGAACCTGTGGAACAGGTGCTTTACCAGCACATTGAAGTGGATCTGAATAAGAATTTGCGGCACATACTGAAGGTGGAAATTTACTTTTGTCATGAGGAAAAAAAGAATTAAATGACGGAAGTTCGGAATTCCAAAAACAGTCAATCCAAATAAATCATATTTCCCTTAAATATACAAGACAAGAATTTGATTTATTAAACAAAAAAATTGTAGTAATATCTGGAATTGTGGAAAAGTGATTTAATAGCGAAGAATAATGATTGTTATTCCTCATCCTTGTGTGTCAGCCTGGCACAGTGACTCACCTCTGAGTCACAAGATTGTGGGTTGTGGCCCCACATCAGGACATCACACTGTCTAGGATGACACTCCAATGCAGTGCTGGGAGTGTGCTGCATTACTGGTTTAATATCTCATCCGAAGGATGACATCTCCGAGGTCCTCTCTACCTGTTCAGGTGGATGTTAAAGATCCCAAGGCTCTATTTGAAAGGAGAAGGGAGTTTCTCCCGGTGTCCTGGCTAACAAATACCCCAAATAAAAAGATGGTCCTTCACTTTGTGGCTGTTTTTGGGACATTGCTGTTTGCAAATTGGTTGCCGCTTCACCTACAAAACACACAGTCAAAGCCATTTATAGTATATTCTGTGAAGTGATCTGAAAAGTCATGATGATGTGATGAGGTTCTATATCAAATAAGAACAATGACAAGGATTATTATTATTAATACTCATTTAGACTCACATTTACCAGAAGTGACGCAGATTGCAAACCTATTTGAATTATGCAAACTTAAAAAATTTAAAACTGATGTGAATATTTTTCATTTCTAATGTTAGTTAATAATATTACCCTCAATTTTTTTCATTCTTGTAGATGCTGTTTGGGACTACAATCGAAACTTAGTAAAATTGAAAGATCTGTCCTTAAAATATGGGGGTTTAACCATGCCCCCCACCTCCCCCAGTCTAGCAGAAAAGGTTCACTTTGTTTTCTCTTGGATGCAAAAACAATCATCCTTTTGTTATCAAAAAGGAAGGAAAGAACAGATTGCACTGGCAAGCATTCAATACTTGATGACCTTGAATGTTCTTTCTTTGACTTTTATCTATAATATCAACAGGCTCGCTTCTTAGTTTGATATACACTAAACAACTCCATTACTGTAAATATGCTGACATCATAGCTGGCAGTACAGGCAGTTTTAAACACAGTTGTGACATTTAGATAAACACACAGTAAATACATACGTCACCTTTCGTTTCAGCAGGACGTCTCAAAGCATTTTATAGAACCAACTGGGAGACAAGGTAAGGCAAGTTGTCAAGTAATTTGAGAGTAGGCTAGGGTGATATATGGGGTGTTATAATTGGCTTCAGTATCCCTGGGTTAGGGAAGAGGGAGGAAAACAAATAGCGAGAGATCCTGCTGCTGACCACTATGTGCATGAGTTGAGGTCAGGTTAAAACTGCTTGCTAACACTCACTCTGTCTCAAACAAACATGGGCAAGGTACAGAATCCAGAATCCACTGCACTGTACAACAAATATAATTCAGTGCCTTTTATAATGAAGGGGAGAAGATTAGCATTGAAGGCCAGATGTTGACCATCTTTACTAAATTCCCGTCTGACTGATCAGTTGGATGTAAAAACCCCAGAGAAAATGATTCTCCACTTTATAGGAGGTTACTGTATGTAAACTTGGTGCCACATTTGCCTACAAATACACAGCCCTCTATTTTATAGTAAAATACTGTGAAACATTTGAGACATTTCAACGCTAATAATATTTTTAATATTTAATATTTTAATATTATTATCATTTGATATTGTGTCTTGAAATGTCTTAAAAAAGTGAATTGACTGTATATTTTGTGGGCAAAACGCGGCAGCCAATTACTCAAATTACTCAAGTTAGCTGCTGATACCGACCACCGATGTCCTGACAGCTGCCTGTCTGACATCGAGTCCTGAACGAGAGACAACTTTCTTCAGCTCAACGTGCGCAAAACTGAGGC